GCCGTTGACTCCCGCCACGGGTTCGACCATTTTTTTTGTTCCGGGTGGACCATTTTTTTTCTTCGTTTTTTTCTCAAGACAGTGACCTCGCTGTTGACTCCAACCACGGGTTCGACCATTTTTTTCCGAAGAAGTTGACTCCCACCCACGGGTTCGACATTTTTTTTTGTTCCGGGTGGGACCATTCCAAGCCTGGGTGGTGTTTACGTTGCCCACATCTCAAATAAAAAAAACACAAATTTCCGAAGGGACTTCACCGCCGAGTCCAAGCCAGGGTGGTATCATGAATATTCTTGGATCACACCGGTGTCGACAAAATCGTCTTCCGGGTTGGCACACATCTTGGTATCCACGCAACCTTCTAAGAACCAGGTCATGGGTTCGAGCCCCGGCGAAGCGAGTTTTTTCTCGCATTCGTTCCTGGAAAATTGAAAGCGATTTCGTTAGTAAATAATACCTCGACTTCATTGTTACGAGGGCGAGAGTGGGGAGTGCTGAACCCTGCTCGCGGAAAAATATAAGGCATGCACCGCAGGAGAGGTTCGCCGCCCTTCTGTGTGACCCCGGTTGGGTCGTCTAGCTAGTCGTAGTGGAGGATGGGGGCCAGTGGGGCAGACGACAACATGTACCAATAATGGGATGAAAAAAAAAATAAAAAAAAAAAAACATCCTACACTCCGAAGGATGACTCCGCCGACCACAACGGCCCGGAGTCAAGTGTGACTTCACCGACTACTTCGATCAAAACTGTACACGGAGTCCACAAAAAACGATTCTTCCGGGTTGGCACACACGGATCCTACACTCCGAAGGATGACTCCGCCGACCACAACAGCCCGGAGTCAAGTGTGACTTCACCGACTACTCCGATCAAAACTGTACACGGATTGGCACGATCGCTCATCATTTCCCCCTCATCATCGCTGCCACCCCCCGATTGACTCCACCGCGCTCATCTTTGCTGCCACCCCCCTGGTGTACTGATTGAAACGACGGACAAACGGGGCATGGCGGACAAACGGCACGTAGCGGAAGCGGTTGTTGACCTAGCACCAGGCGACCTTGCGTACACGACGTCAGCAAAAAAATGGGGTGAATCGGGTTTGTATCTAGGTTCGGGTTTGTAGCTGGAGTCTGCCAAAAAAAAAACACAACCTGAAACGACTTTGACCACCACTTCATCCTCGGGGTGTCATTTTTTTACATGACTTTGGCGACCACTCCAACACCCAACGCCCAAAATGGACGACACATTTCTTCCTTTCTTGGTGTGGGCCAAGCTTTAATGCCAGCCGAAAACACATCCTGTTTAAAAAAAAAAAAAGTTTTCGATTTCGGTCGATGCTCGAGCGCGCGCGGAGCCTCAAGTCGAGACTTTTGTCCTCGAAAATAGGTCGCACGGGATCACGATTTTCCGTGTGAACACCGCTTCAAAAATGTCGCGCAGCAAAAGTCTGGACTTGACCAAGTCGAGACTTTTGAATTACCTGCATTGTATGCGCGTGAATGCCGGTCATTCTTCGGGGCAAAACCGTCAAAATTACCAAGCTTTTGGGATGTGCGTTTTTACGTTTGTCGCGTCAAGTCGAGACTCTTGCGATAGAGACCATGGATACACGTGAGTAGGGACTACTTTTCGGGGCAGATACGCTTCCGATGTAAGCATCACGTGGTGCATTTGTTTTATATATTTGCATTTCGTTTCAAGTCGAGACTTGTTCCATGTACTAAAAAGTCTCTGCGATATTTATGGGTGTAAAAATGGTTTTTGCCGCCAAGTCGTCAACCAAGAAGTCCCTGCAATTATTTATGGGTGTGAAAATGGTTTTGAAAAATCCAAGTCTAGGAAGTGCATCCCGGCCAACACATCAACCAAGAAGTCCCGGCAAATATTTATGGGTGTGAAAAAGGTTTTGAAAAATCCAAGTCTGGGAATGCCCACACATCAACACACACGCGACCTCGGCGCTAAAGTACCCATTTTGAACCCGGAAGAACAAAGACAAATTGTTGGATTTGGGACAATATGGCGTCAGCGGGGAGGTCTGGTGGGAAACAAGTGTTGGCCTCAACTGTCGTCAATACGGCTGTCAGAGGGAAAGTCTGGTGGAAAACGAGCGTTGGCCTCAACTGTCATCAATACGGCGTCAGCGGGGAAGTCTGGTGGGAAAAAGTGTTGGCCTCAGCTGTCAACAATACGGTCAGCGGTGAAGTGTTGGTGAAAAAAGTATGTTGGCCTCAACTGTCATCAATACGGCGTCAGCGGGGAAGTCTGGTGAAAAACATGTGTTGGCCTCAGCTGTCATCAAAATACGGCGTCTGCGGGCAAGTCTGGGTGGAACACATGTGTTGGCCTCAGCTATCAACACGGCGTCAGCGGGGAAGTCTGGTGGAAAATGTTTTGTTTGTAGACATTGCCGTTGATTCCCTTCGAAACCCTAGCTGTCTTCCAAGTCGGGCACCAGTACAAGCACTCTGTGGTTCATCCCCAACTTTGTATGCGGGGCCAAAACGAAAGTCCAAGGCAAAACGCATTTTCGTCACAGCTTCTCGTGTCGGGAATGTCAGAGGCGGAATACTTAGCGTGCAAGCTGGTGTGTAAGCCTTGACGAGACGAGGTAGTCTCAGAAGGCTAAGGTTCGGGCTCTTACCTAACTGTCCTCGGTGCTCTCAGCGTCCTCGCTGCTCTCATTTCCCCCTCATCATCGCTGCCACCCCCCTGACTGACTCCACCGCGCTCATCTGTGCTGCCACCCCCCTGGTGTGCTGATTGAAACGACGTCCCGTGTTGACCTAGCGCCAGGCGACCTTGCGTACACGAAGATCAGCAAAAAAATGGGGTGAACCGGGTTGTATCTAGTTCGGGTTTGTAGCTAGAGTCTACCAAAGAGCAAAACCTGACACGACTTTGCCCACCACTTCACCTGCATTAGTACATGACTTTGGCCACCACTCCAACACCCAACGCCCAAAATGAACGAAGAATATTGGCACTTGCTGGGATGGGCCAAACTTTTTAGCCAGCCGAAAACATTTCTCGTTTCCAAAAAAAAAAAGTTTTCGATTTGAGTCAATGCTCGAGCGCGCGCGGAGCCTCAAGTCGAGACTTTCGTCCTCGGAAAAGGGCGACAACCAGCTGACTTTCACCAAGTCGAGCCTTTGCATTGCCTGCCTCAGATGCGCGTGAATCCCGGTCATTCTCCGGGGCAAAACCGTCAAAATTACCGAACTTTTGGGATGTGATGTTTACGTTTGTCGGTCAAGTCGAGACTCTTGTGATAGAGACCATGAATACACGTGAGCAGTGACTACTTTCCGGGGCAAATACACTTCCGATGCAAGATATGCATTTTTTTTTCAAGTCGACACGTCATTACCATGTGCCAGCCAACACTTCAACCAACAAGTCCCGGCAATTTTTTATGGTTGTGAAATGGTTTTGAAAATCCAAGACTGGGTGCCATCCAACACTCCAAGCAGGAAGTCCCGGCAAAATATTTATGGTTGTGAAAATGGTGGTTCAATCATTTTCAGCCCAGAACAGTTGGCTCCTGCACTGACTCCGACCCCGGGTTCAATCATTTTCGGCCCAGAACAGTTGACTCCTACCCCGACTCCGCCTCCGGGTTCAATCATTTTCGGCCGAGAACAGTTGACTCCTACCTTGACTCCGACCCCAGGTTTCGTCATTTCGGTAGCATTCCCCCAGCCCTCTCCATCTCTCCCCTCCCTTGAAGCCGCCTGCCCCGCCCTTCCTCCGGTGGTCTGGTCGAGCGCGTTTGTACGGCGTGTAAAGGCAGAAAGGGCGCGAAGCAAGATGAACGAGGGGGCGGGAAAAAAACGAAGGTCACGGGGAAGGCTTAAGATAACCACCACTAAAAACAAACACCTTTTGGTAGGCGTGCCTACGGCAAGGCAGCCCAGAGAGATCTGTGGCATGAAACAACACCAGGGTGGTGTTTCAGAGGTCGAAAGGCGAGAGCAGGCAAGGAAAGCACCCACGTCGTCACTCGGCGAAGGCACACAACCAATGCACCTGGAAAACGGGCTTGATGGTGGTCAGTAACGTGGCTGTGTGCCGAGCTGGACCGGTTCATACACGTACATGTACATTTCTCGGCGTGGACATAACGAGCAGAAGTGGTGTTTTGCTCACACCTAGATATTGCCTACATTAATGCAAATTACCACGCGTGGGCTGCTAGCTGTGCTCGCAAGTACGGGTGCTTTGGGAGGGGTGTTGGCTTTCGTGACTCCTACAGGTTTTGGACCAATACGCGTGCATGTACATGTCACGGCATGAAAGTTACCTGTAGCAACGACGCTCTGCGCATACCTAGGTATGGTCAATACGTAAAATTCGCGCCCCCAGCCAATGCAAACAACCAAGGGTGGACTCGTGGCCTTGCACGCGAGTGGAGGGTACTTCTGGGGTGGGGTCCCCACGGTAAAATCGGCGGTGTTTTGCTGCGATACATATGCATGTACATTTCTTGGCGTGGATGTAACGCACAGGAACGGTGTTTTGCACAACGCTAGATATAGCCTATACCTTTCATTTACGGGCCATTGCAAAAAAACCAGTGTGGGCTGCTAGCCGAGCTCGTGACTACGGGCTACTTCTGGTTGGATGCACCCCCCCGAAAAAGGGTATTTTTGGGTCAAAAAAATGTAGTGGGAGCTTCGATATCTCTGGAACGCAGAGGATCATACCTTATTCCAATGCAAATGAGTTTGGTGTAGGTATCCAGAGCAACTTCGTACAAAAAAATGAGACAAAACGTTTATTCCTACCGTTCGGGAGGCCAAAACACGTCGTGAGCTCGGTATGACGCGCTACTGCGGCAGACCAGCTCCCAGATGACACTTTTTTCGTTTTTGAAGCCGCCTCTTTGAACTTTGTCACGAAATCGAGGGAGAACACTCGTATACTACCCTACAACATCACTGTAGCAAAAGTAGTGGTGCTCACGCCTCATTTCTCTCCTTCCCTGGCCCCCATGCAGGTACAATGACAAGGAAGGGGGGTGGTATTCAACGTATGATTTATGGTGAGCTTGAATGACACGGGGAGCTTTGAGAGTTTGGCAACGGCACACGAAAGGGAAGCACAGGAAGCGGAGGGTAGCCGTAAATCATGTATACATCAGCCGTGGTGCCTCGTTTCAGGCTGTATCCTGGTGTCATCGCACGAAGTCAAACGTGACTCGGGCGCGACAATCCCGGAGGCGGCGGGATAAACGAAGGCAGAGCAATCGAAAATAACCACACCTTCATCATTCCGCCGGAAGCCATGTTCGCTCGCCGAAGTTCCATAGGTCCACTCTCACAGATGTCTACCGTCGGAACCTTCTGCCTCCCTCCTGCCCTTACCCATGCGGATGCTCTGCCAAGTCTGCTCCAACAAGCCAGCACTATGCCCCCCCCCCCCATCCCATTCCCGTATTTTTGGTTTGATGACTACCAAATCACTTATTACTGCGTGCCCCCCGCCCCTATTGTCTTTTTTGTCGCCGCCCGACAAGGGCACACATCGCAGGCAAACAACACGAGAAGTCGTGTGCGCTTTGTGCTCACGATCGACGGGTTCCAGCGCCACGGTTCATCTATCGTTCCTGCGCCTGCATTCCGAGCGTGCCCACAGGTGAGCGCGTGCAGAGAGATTCTCGGACCGAACGTGTGCCAAAACTGCTGTGCGCTCTTTCCAGAAGCCTGTCTCGTGGGCGCGCATTTGTCGTGTGCACTTGGCGCACAGCGGACGAGCTCGCGACACAGGCACGCTTCCTCCCAAGAGATGTTCTGCGCGTGGCCTGACGAGCTGGTTTGGATGCCGTCCCACCCTTTTATTTATTTTTCGCTGAAGTTTGGCGAATCTGGCCCTCAATGGTGTCCGTCTTGTTGTGCATCCTCAGATTTCCCGACTGCGAGTAATGCTTGATCGCACCCCCGAAAGTCGCATTGAAAAGGCTTCGCATCCGAGTGCTTCCTCTTATGTACTACCATGTCGGCTTTTGTGAAAGCCATGTAGGGGCAAGTGTCGCATGAAAACGCTTTCCGCCTTGGTGCCTTCTCGTATGCGGTGTCATTTTGTCCCGACGTGGAGCGGTGTACGGGCATCCGTCGACGTCACACGCAAGAAGCCGTCGTGCTTTTTTCGGTCGTCCATGCGTCTTGTGTTGCTTGAGACTACTCGACTGTGTGAATGCCTTCCTGCACTGCCCGATGTCGCACACAAATGGTTTTTTGCCCGTGTGTGTCATCATGTGTATTTTCCTGGCGTGCAAGATGTACCCCTTGGCTACGAAAGGGCACCCATCGACGTCACACGAAGGTCGCGGTCGTTTGCTTAGGCGTGGGTGGTCCATCGGTTTTTGTTTTGTGCTCCGATCGTGCTCTCGTTCCATCAACTTGCATTTATCAAATCGGGGACAGGGAGAGAGCAAAGTCCGAGCAGCCATGATGTGCTGAACGCTTGGTCGCGCGCGCAAGAAACACCGACCCTCTTTTCCGCAACAGCTTCTTATACAACGATCGAAACAGCCATGATATGTCCGACGCTTAGTCGCGCACGCGAGGAACACCATCGCGCTCTCTTTTCACACACCAGCATTTATTAAATCCGGGAGAGGGAGAGAGCAAACTTCGAATAGCTGCAGTGTGTCCGACGATGTGTCGCGTGCGCAAGGAGAGCCGATCCCCCTTTCGTTCTTCAAACCGCCATTGTTTCGATCGGTGAGAGGGAGAGAGCGAAGTGCGAATAGATCGGAGCAAGCCTCAACGTTTTGACCCCCACTTTGTAGAAGAGTACCGCAAATGACGAAAGATGTCACGCGCCGTGCCGAATTTGACTGTGCGACTGCTGGAGACGACGCCGACTTATGGCTTCGGAGGGAGCCATGTGCACAACGTTTTCAAGGATGCACGGTACTAGAAGGTGGAAACATGGTTTTATTATTTAAAATAGACGAAAGTGCTCATACTTGCCGCGGCGCTACACACCATGGTGCACGTCACCGTTAAAATCCAAACAGCAGATCAATTCTGATCTACGTCGCGAATCGACTGCTCCATGATAATTTACCACGGTCACGCGTGTAGTACACGCTGAATGGTGTACCGTTGTTCCTCGTTGCCCTCGTCGTGATGTTATCCCCCGCAACCGCACCATACTGAGCGGTGTACAGAGCTTTCATCCTTTACCTGTCCGGCCAGGCCACGTAGCCTAACGCCCATGAACCCCGATATCTGCGCAATGAAAATCTCATCCCCACGCACTGGCGCGTGACACTGTATTTAGCAACACCGTGCCCCGGTTCTGCGTTTGATGCGTAGGCTGCAGCAGTCGCGACTGCCAGCGGCAGGGGGGCTCTGGACAGGAGGATACTACGGCAGCCCGCTGGGGCATTTGGCGGGAGGTGTACAATCCGATCGGGTGGTGAATCGTACGTCACGCCAAATATTTCCGTACAAACTGGGTTGACACAATCTTGAATTATGTAGTTTCTCATCGTCGCGTCGCGACCGTCGCTTCCTCTGCTGTGCCTCCTACGCTCTTTTAAACGGTGTGCGGCGGCGAAAAGAATTCCTGATGGCCCTGAGGCAAGGATCATCGCGCGGAAGGGCGGCCCCCTTTGAAGGTTTAGAACTTGGTGCCTCGGAAGCAAACAGCCCGAGCGAAGCATCAGATCATTCAGGCACCCCATTCCATGCACAGCCCTCGCGCACGGGCAGCACGGCGTCGGTTTTTGACCAGGCTGATGCTGCGAACGCTGCCCGGGCCTTCCTGAACTCTCTGCAAGATTTCCACCCGCCGGACTCGAACGAGAGGTTTGAGTCTCATGGTGCTCTGGCAGCGCGAGCCACTGAAAGTGTGCGGTTAGGCTCAATTAAGCAAGCCGATCAGTCGCCCTCGTGTTAAGCGACCCGCCGAGATTAAGGTTGGAGACTTGGACAACAACTACCGTACTGTGTTTTTGCCACGTACGCCTGAAGTTCGAAATAGTTTCGTCCGGTAGGACTTCGAAGTACCAAGAAACTTCTCGTTTGGTATCGTTCAAAATCGGGAGACATAGCAGTGTGGGAAGAAGGCAGCACATGGGGTCGGGGGGTTTGAGCTGCCGTCTTCGGCTGAGTAGCTCTGACGTTAAGGCTCTGGCAGGAGCCTCCTCTGAGCACAGCGCTGGTGGCGCGTACCCGTCGTGTTCAACTACTGTGTCGAAGTCTCTCGAAGCATTCGTCGAGCAAAGCAAATATGCACACCGACTTTGATGAACTCAAGAAACAGAAAAACACCGGTGGGTTGGGAAAACTTGCACTCGGTTAATACAACATCAAGTGCTTCTCTGTCTGTCTCGAGGTCCGTGGAACCTGTGGACAATTTTTTCCCGATGTATCATGATTCGACTGCAGCATTTTCCAGGAGGTAATCGCGCTCATTTAGTGTCTTCAGTAAGGTTTTCAAGTGTCTCGTTTTGGGCTTCTCCAAACTCGTCGAGAACACCTCGCTTCGATACTCATGTCGAGGCCTCTCGTCGTTCCGTGCCATGCATCCGCTAGCCTTGGTGAGGCAAGACCCCCAGCGGACGCGGAGTTCGCAGGACGAGGGCCAAACAATGTATCAACAAGGCAGTGGCCGTGTTCTGATTTCAAGTTGAAACAGTTTCTGCCAGGTTCAGTGTACCTCTGGGCGTGCGGCGAGGACATCGAAGCTCGCAACTACGGAGATGTCTGGATGCCCCCTGAAGCAGTGACCGCCTGGGTTGTCCTGATTGTAAGACGTTGAGTTGTGGTGGCATGAAAACCTGCTCGAGCTCGAATTCCTCTGCTGTGTGCTTTGTTGGAAATGGCTGATGCAAGTAGCGTACTCACCTGTTTGTTTTGGGATACTTGGTGACCCCTAAGGCAGGACAACGGGTGTCGTTGTGTAGCCTGAAATCTTGTCAATTGGACTAAACAAATTGAATCCAAGGGTGACGAAATTGAATCCGAGGGTAACGAAGTGAAGAAACCAATTCGAGGGAGAAACGTCCCTCTCTTCTCTCCGCGCGAAACCTTCTCCGCAGACGCAGCTACTGTGCTACTTGGTGCTGTGTTTGGTGTCAGGAAACCAGTTTGCTGCAGACGACGAACCTCCCAGCTACTCAATCGTTGCCGTGGCGGTGGCAGTATATCTCATGCTGTCAATAGCTGCGGCAGACTTGTGGGGAGGGTGGGCTCTTCTCGTGGAAAGGCGTCGTTCTGGGGACCCCTGGTTTAAAGCGCGGAAGGCGTTCGGGCTCGGTCTGCTTGCTACATTTTCGATGATGGTTGTGGCATCGACGCGAGTGCTGTTTTACTCCTCGTTTGAAAACATGGAGTTGGTTATTGGAGCCGCCACGGTCCTGTTCATCGCCGATGTGGTGAGTGAGTTGGACGAAACCACGCCGAACCACAAGGGTACGGCAGGCGTCCTTTTTGGTGCTTCAAATTGTGTAACGGACAAGCGAACACGTTTGCAGATGTGGGTTCTCACTGTTACCACGCGTCCCGTTCAAGCATCAATACTCGACATATCTGAACACGCACCCTTCCAACAGCACCCCCGTTTTGACACGCACTTGCATGTCATGAGTTTGTGCAGCTGCCTGCTGCAGTAAAATACAGCAGCATGTGCTGTCAGTCAGTGTAAGTCGTGGCTGCGTTGGTCCGTGATTTAAATACACGATTTGCGATCCTGTTTTGTGTCTAGGCACTGAAGCTGGGATATGATATAAGTTTCCAATAACCTGGTATGGGTTTATGTAAAACTTGATGCTGTGTCTGCTACATGTCAAGATAGGCTTCCACCTGGTGTATGCAAGGACTGCCACAACACTGAGTGCTTACTCCCTGGTTCTGTGCTGTGCAAGGCAGTCTCGGCAACGAACGCGCCGAAGTAGATACACGGTGATTTGCGTGTTCAGCTTTCCCTATTGAGGTTGACACTATTTAGTTTAAAAGTTAAACGTGTCAGCTTCAGGTACCAGAAACACTGCAGTGAAAGGACGCTAGCTTTTGCAGAGCACACATAAGGAGGGCATCAGATGCGCGGTGAAGCAATCGCACTCAGAGTTGGGGGCAACCAACCAACGCGTCCAAGAAACACTTCCATGGCCTCGTGTTTACGTTGCGTTTGATGAGGCTTATGTAGGCTGTGGGATTATGCTTTCGAAATTGTATTCTGTATTCTGCTATCTCACACGAGGTCCTTTCACAAAACTCGGCATCACCTTGGACTGGCGCAGGACGAGAAGGCGATGAATGTGCTGAGCAATTTCCGTGGTCAATGGCGCCTTTTCTGGGTTATCGAGGCCATCGGCCTGAGCTTTGGGCTTGCACTACTCGCGGTGAAAGCAACGGGAAACGACGGGAATGTTGATGGTGATAGCAAGAGTGAGGGTTGCAACTCGGTATTTTGGTCGAGTGAATGCGGGGTTTACAACTGGTTCTTCGTCTTCACGACACACCCAGTCGCCGCAACAGTCGTTGCCTTGATGCTTACAAGTTGGCTTTCGAGACCCCATCCGTGTGTAATACTTGGCAAGTTTTTCCCTTGTGGAGAGTGGTTTTGGTTCTCATGTCTGTCGCTCTGTCGGACATCATTGGCTTGCCTTGGGCAGATAACGCATAAGGTGTTGAACGAATATCTCCATACTCCAACTTGGAGTATATTTGTGAACGTACCTGTAATCACCTACCCCCGCACCCTTTTGGGAATATGCACCGCTCTTTATGCCGCTTGCCATCTTCAGGAGCTGAGACAGTTGGACTACAGTTGTAGTATGCGCTCAACAGACATATTCCGGCGACGGTGCCTGTACATCCCGATGCTGGTAAATGTAGTTTTCGCCGCTGTCCTAAACACTATTTCTTATTTCATGTCTTCTTCTAGCGATGCAGGTCCAGGACCGCTACTGTTCAATTTATTCGGCATTCAGCTTGGGTTTTCCGCAGTCTTGAACACGGGCTTTTTTGCGTGGCTTGTTTTCGGGACGGGGTTGGCGGGGTTACCTTCCGATGATGACAAACCATTTCACCAGGATATGAAACCAGCACCGCTTATGAGGTCGATGTTGTTGGGGTGGGGGCTCAGTGCAGGATTCTCTGCGGTGTCTGCTTGGGTCGATGTGGTTGCCAACTATATTTTTGTGCCGGTGGGAATATCCACTGTGGTGATTGGAGTAGGATGGCTGCTGTTCAGGATGCTAGTGGGGACCTGGTTGTGGAGTGGGTCGCGTGAAATGCGCTGTATTGCGTATTGGGTGGCGGTGGCATGGATCGAACAAGTTGTTGTTGACTGTGTGGTAGGCTGGGTTTACGCGAGAGTTGAATCCACGGTGACCTGAGTGTAGTAAAGGACAGGTTGGTGCAATTGTTGCGTTGTTCGCAACTAAATTATCCTACGCCAAGAAGCTCCTGACGGGGCATAGTTTCGTTGGCCCTCTTCAGCAAGACCGTTTTGGGTTGTTTAGCAACCTGGATTTTGTTATGGATCTAAGAAGAGGTTGACGGCATTGTGAACTGAACGGTGTGTAGACATTCGGGTATTCAGCCGTCTGAACACGTTTTTTCAATCCGAATCGAAGTACAATCTAAAACATTATGGCAAATGCCCGATACCCACACTAAACTTAAGCAAAACCTTCTAAAACCCATTACCAAATCTACCGTATTGTGCCATGGGGTTTCGTTGGGTTTTTGGCCTCTTGATGTCGTTTTTCGCAATCCGAGATTGATTCCAATCCGGATTGAAAAATTCATATACTTTTCCCTGTGGTACCGGGAACATCGCCCCTACGGACGTAGATGTATTGCATCTCTACATCTCGTGCCTTAGGAAACATGACACAATATTCATGACGAGCTTCGTCGAGGGTCTTGGATTTCAGGTCACGGTTGATCACTTGACCGTCCGCCGCTATTTTCAGCGCGCTCATTGTTGTTGTGTGGTGGGTGTGCTGGTGTGCGTATCTTTTGGACGCGGCGGAACCTCGTCTGTGGCTGTTATGGTATTACAGAGCTAGGAGATATACACAGAGCCGGGAGATAGATACAGAGTCAGAAGATACATGCCCGTTGGATATAGCGATGTGTGATCTACACTCAAAGATACAGGCTCGGGTTGATGCATGTAGCTTTGAGAGAGGTTAGGTCAACGGTCGGACATTTGTGTCCAGCAGTAAAGAGCCACGAATGATTGCTGTCAGCAATCAGAGCCCTACGCTCACTTGCCGGCACCAGCCCTCCTGCTTGAGAGATTCTAACAAGGCGTGAGTTGACACCTTGGACCGACACCCTGCCTTACAGTGGTCGGGTACGCCCCACACTGCCTATCTGGGAACATTCTAAAGCCCCTCTTCCTAATAAGAGGGGATTTAGTTCTCAGCGCCAAAAAAAAAAAACCATAATGCAGAGCTCGTACGAAATCTACGCAACTTTTTTTGTCGTAGAACTCGTACCCCAAACCTCGTACCCCAAACCTCGTACCCCAAAATGGACCCAAAATGGCCCAAAACGCGTACCCCTAGTCACCGCGGGCGATTTCTCGACCCTCGGTCAACCCCACCACCCCCCCTCTAGGCGGTGATAGCGCGAAATCCTACGGACGCGAGGCAACGAGACCTCGCGGCGCGGCGGGCAGAGCTGACCGAGTGTGACGCCGAGTCGCAAACGCAAAAAACACGCGCAAAACGCGAAAAAGTCAAATCACTTCAAGTTAGAACAGGAGACACAGAGATGGGTCGAAAATGACCATGAACATGCTCCAAACAAAGGCGATTGACGGCGGATCGAAGTTCCAAGGGTCAGGAAGTGATGTACTCTCCCTGTTCTCAGTCGGAGGGACCTGGCTTCGCCGTGCGTTCGCCCAATCAATAGATATCGTCGTCTGTGTGTGCACGCACACATCCTCCGATGCTGTGTGTAAAATAAACGCTGTGTGCTGTGTGTGCCCGCCAGCAATGACAAATTCACACCCATGGTTTGTAGGCAAGCTGAAAGCTTCTCCTGCATATCTTCCGACCGCCCCCGCCTACATATCACAAAGGGCGTCCGAGTGAGGTTTCCGGATCGCGTCGTTGTCTCAAACTCTCATTTCCTGAGTTGGTCGATATCGAATATCGAACCATCAAAACGCGGCGAGATTCTTCAAGTTTTTTTTGGCAAGCCGTCACACACGTGATGATCTCCTTCCAGCATTCCTGCTGCAGAGGAAGCTTCGCTGGCGGCAGTAGCGACACCAGGCAACACCAAACGCACCAGCTACAACCAAGAACGATGTCCAGCCACAGCTGCTGAATCGCAGGTGTAACAGTGCGCCATATCACAGGTGAGATCCGGTCCAGACACTACTGACTCCTGACCACAGCAGTAGTCTAGATTAGACTACAAAGACAACCCCCTCTCTCACGTTGACCAGATAGACTATTTAGCACGCGGTCAGGCGATGGCGGGCGATCCAACGGCATCAAGGAACACCGGGAAGACGAGAGACAGCGACGATGAATGTCATTTCACCGATTCTGCTGGTAACAAGTTCGTGGCGATGCCCAATGCCGGGCGAGATAACTGCGGGTTCCTAACTCTCCTCGCGCACTGGATGCTCAGCGTTGGGATTCCTTATGATACCGTATTAGCAGCCGTGAATGGGAAGCTAACGAGAGAGCTGCAGGACAGAGTTCAGTCGCTTCGCGAAGATGTCGTTTTCGCACTTCCTCCGTACTACCCTCCACCGCAGGTGCGTTTGCGGCCACTTCACGAACTTCACCCAGCCTAAGAGGGCGCTCTCTCTTCCCGACGCGACTGAGAAGCCGGGCATGCCGTGCGGATGCTGCTCCTCCATCATGGGTCAGGAGCACATGTACCTCGTGTGCGGGCGCGTCGACGACGACGGCCCCGGCCTGTACTGCTGCGGGGAGCCGACCCAGTGCTGGGAGCAGGGAGTCCACGACGACTCCAACATCACCTGTCACAAGGGATGCGACCTCTCCGGTGAGCAGTGCAGGACCTTCACGACCGACGGCGTGGACGGCAATGCTGACACCGCCATCACGTACTGCCAGGACTGCTTCTTCAAGAGGCGCGCAGCCTTCGTGCGCAAGGCACGGAAGCACCTCCTCGCCAAGGCCAAGGCGAGCACGCCGCCCCCCACGAAGCGGGCGCGCGTCGTTTCTCCTGGCTCGGGAGCTTCGGCTGGCTCTGCCATCGCCGCTGCTGCTCCTTCTGTCGGCTGATTTCACCCGCCGAGACTCCTGTGACCGCCATCTTCTGTCAACCTTCAGCCTCATCATCTGCTGCCAGTTGCTTTGAATTCACGGTTCATCTTCCCACGTTTCTTCTGTTTTCTTCGTTCAGACTTGCGTTAGATTTCGTGGTGTGAAAAGCTTCTGGTGTCTTGTCCCGTTACGTGCTATCGATTCGGTGTTCAGTTTTCTATAAATTTCGTCTATTCCTAGGGCGCGGTCTTGCTGCCTCAGGTTTTTACATGCCTTCAAAGATGGAGGATTCTGTCAACCTTCAGCCTCATCATCTGCTGCCAGTTGCTTTTAATTCACGGTTCATCTTCCCACGTTTCTTCTGTTTTCTTCGTTCAGACTTGCGTTAGATTTCGTGGTGTGAAAAGCTTCTGGTGTCTTGTCCCGTTACGTGCTATCGATTCGGTGTTCAGTTTTCTATAAATTTCGTCTATTCCTAGGGCGCGGTCTTGCTGCCTCAGGTTTTTACATGCCTTCAAAGATGGAGGATATCTCACTGGCTCCCCGCATCCAGACTTGTGCGTTCTCTTTCCACATCTGTTCTTGTCGGTGTCGTAGATAGTGCTGCAGTTTTCGAGTGTTTCACGTACACATACATATGGAACAGCCTGGTCAGAGTGATTACTATCCAGCGCGACACGGTGCTCGACCTGTAGACATGGGTTTGATGCCTTTCTGTGCTTTGTTTCAAGTCTTCAAGTTCAGTTCTACTTAGGTATTTCTCGTCTGATTAGATTCGAAGAGCCTGGCCTGTGTACGTGGTGTCCGTATCAGTTGAATTTTAGTCGACACGCGGCAACTACTGTCCGTATCATATTAGGCATAGACGTTTCATAGTCGCGTTGTTATTTGATTCTTTCCAGAGCGGCCTGTTCATACGATTGGTTCAAGCAACACCGGGTTTCCTCCCTGCTTGTGGGTCTGACTGTGTTTCGTTTCTTGCTCTTATGTAGTCTTGCTGCGCATTGTACAACGCCTTGAGTGAGGGCGTGTAGTGAGGTGACTGAAAATGGCTGCAATCAAGGAACGTTCTTTCGGGTATGTTTCTTGCCTTCTCGCTGGAAAGCTTGAGTTGACTCTACGTTCATTCGTTCTTAATAACACCCTGGACTTCTAATGTTCTTTCCGGTATATTTTTTGTCTTCTCGCTGGAAAGCTTGAGTTGACTCTACGTTCATTCGTTCTTAATAACACCCTGGACTTCTAATGTTCTTTCCGGTATATTTTTTGTCTTCTCGCTGGAAAGCTTAAGTTGACTCTCCGTTCATTCGTTCTGCATAAACACCCAGGACTTCCTCTTTGCATCACATCCCTCTCTCGAACGACGGCGACCAGGGTCGGCAAGCCCATACAAGAAAAATAACAAACAATGAAAAAAATTGGGCTTTAGAAGCAGGCTGGGGCCACCCCAGGCCATTTATTAACATAATGTGGCGGTTCATACGCGGCTGTCATCCTCAGATTCAGCAGATTTCTCTCGGGATGCGTGCGTGCGTTTTTTGCCGGTNGAGTTGACTATAAGTTCATTCGTTCTTAATAAACAAGCTGGACTTCTAATGTTCTTTCCGGTATATTTTTTTTGTCTTCTCGCTGGAAAGCTTGAGTTGACTCTACGTTCATTCGTTCTTAATAACACCCTGGACTTCTAATGTTCTTTCCGGTATATTTTTTGTCTTCTCGCTGGAAAGCTTAAGTTGACTCTCCGTTCATTCGTTCTGCATAAACACCCAGGACTTCCTCTTTGCATCACATCCCTCTCTCGAACGACGGCGACCAGGGTCGGCAAGCCCATACAAGAAAAATAACAAACAATGAAAAAAATTGGGCTTTAGAAGCAGGCTGGGGCCACCCCAGGCCATTTATTAACATAATGTGGCGGTTCATACGCGGCTGTCATCCTCAGATTCAGCAGATTTCTCTCGGGATGCGTGCGTGCGTTTTTTGCCGGTCAGTCTGCGAAAAATGATTTTGTTTTAGTACCCATCCCGTCTGTGTGGCAGGCAATTTTCTGTAATACCCCGCCCGTGCTTCTCGAGAGGACGGCGGCATGATGATTTGCGTAATAGCCCGCCTTTGTCCCGAGAGCACGGCGGTGGCGGGCGATTGTTTGTAATTACGCGCCATTTCCCCGAGAGCACGGCCACGGGCGATTGTTTGTGATTCCCCGCCTTTTTTGACAGAAATGCATTTGTCATCAACGAAGCTAGCCGACGAACTCGGCTGGCATGATGCCCTCGGTCAATAGAAGGATCCGAGGTGATTTGTCGACGGTGGTGGCGAGGAACCTCTGTTTCTGCGCATTTCGCCGCATGGGCGGCCCGAAACGGAAGAAACCATTAGTCTAGAAAACCTCATCGCACCGTCCGCAGCAAAATGGTGGTTATGTGGAGGACACCTGTTAGAAGGATAACCAACCATTTGTACACATACCAAGTAAGGAAGATACGACTCCATCGGGGTAGCGTGCCATCGGGAGAGTAACAAGAATTACACCGTTGGGAATCTGTATCTTTCGTAGTCCTTGGCCGCATGCCGAGGGAAGAGACGGAGAGTCTTCGACTCTCCTCTCTGCCCTCCTGGGCCACTCTTCTCTATCTCTCTCCTTGCTACACATCACGGAAGGAAATCAGCCGCCCTTGGCAGTGGGTGAATACTGCAACGGCACCGGCCCTGTCTCTTGACAGAAGCCCGTGTCCTCATTGGCGTCGAACGAATTCAGACGGCTGTCGCGAAAGCAATCTGAGGACGTCCACCACGTTGCACGGCAATAAACTCATATGAACAGGTTGAAGCGTGCTTTTTGGGGTCGAGGGCGTAAATGGCGTGACACGCAAAGAGGAGGAAATCAATCGATCGCAGGAGTCATACTGGAGCATCGTATGTAGAGCAGACGTCGTCTGCCGCCGCTGCCTGATGTTAGTTGTGTTCGCATTCAAGCGTTTCAAAAGGCCGCGAGACTTACCACGTAGACTGGAGACGTTGCAACCTGCAGGGTGCTCTACGAACGAGCAGTGTTGTTGGTGTGTATCATCGATGGGTCTGATTGGGACGAACATACCAGCCGTCTTGGGAGTGTTGAGATTGTCTTGGGGTACGGTATCTTCCGTATAGTATAGAATGTAGCGGCAGCTTGATCAGTAGGCATTTCAGTGAACGAGTGCAAGGAATAATCTGTGCGGAACATTTGATTTTAGAACGGCCCTGAAGGTATTCGTCTTGTAGGCAAGAGTATGGAAGAACGCGCTTATTAACGCACAATCTACAGAGCTGCTGTTTGCAAGCGTGTTTGGGGGCTGGTACTCTTGGCTAGAAGTTTGGGCAATGGAGATTCTTAGTTGAGTTCGAGAAGGTACATCAGGGTGTTCGCTTTTGCCTCAACCTGTTGAGCAACCCGCTTGTAACGTACGAACGCCGGTTCACTCGCGACAAAGCCCCGTTGTACCGCACCTGCTGCGCTCCGCTGCGAAGCAACACCGTAGTCGTTGCAGCACAAAATGCTAGATGTACCGGCTACACAGCGGATGGTGACCAAAAACGATTCGGTAATAAGTTTCAAGGTAACGCTTCGCATCTCTCAAGAAGAATACGAAACATTCGGACGCCAGGGAATCTTATGGTTGGTTGTGTTTTCACCACGTTGCCCCACGACCACGAGACGCACCGCCCTTGAAAGGATGGTCCCCACGCGTACGAAAACACTATGTTACACCCGGTTCAACGCAAAGAACCGAAAAAAGCACCGTCGACGGAGAATCATTTCCATCAACGAAAAAAGCACCGTCGACGGAGAATCATTTCCATCAACGAAAATAACAGTGTTTTCGCCTGATTGAGAGCGAAGTATCCGATTGAGAGCGAGATTGAGCGATTCGATGTAGCTGCACTACCGCTGAGAGGTGGAGCTTGCTGTGCGGCTTCAATTGAACGGGCTAGCCCGTAGCTACAAGCCGCTACCCTGTTCATCCTAGGGGAGTCGCTCGTTGTGGAGCTACACCGAGGAGCAGAAGCTACAGCAGGGCCACCACGCCCGAGAGGCTAAGCCGCCCTGAAACAGTTTCAGCCAGAATAGCCAATCTAGGGCCACCACGCCCGAGAGGCTAAGCCGCCCTGAAACAGTTTCAGCCAGAATAGCCAATCTGGGGCAATCTAGCAACTTGTCTAGCTCCTGGCTGCAGCAGCCGATGACCGCGAGACGCATATGTACGTGACCCTGCTGAAGAGACCTTCAATTTGCGCCGCTTCTTGGAAGAGCCCGCCCCCTACTTCCCAAGAAATGACAAGAGGCGTCTGGACCCGAATTTTCAATTTTTTTGGTTCTCGCTCTCAATCGGATACTTCGCTCTCAATCACACGAAAACTTTGTTTAAATGCATAAATGTTCCACACCACAGTAGTCACCGTGGACGTGAGCCACATGAGTGATGTCCCCTCACACTTGACGCCAAATTCCCTAAGGCTGTCCCTGTCTTGTTCACGCGTTTACGGCGACCGACCGCTGTTGCAGACAGTCGCTTCGATCTCGTCTTCATACCTGCAACAGGGACAAAAGAATTTTGAGCAGTGTCAGGCCTTCGCGCAATGCGTGGTGCATGGGGCTTTCTTACACGACCGCCCAGCTTTGCACGAACCTGTTTTCGCACAACTTCCAGGTTGTTCCGAGTACTGACCGTGTCTGGATGGTCTTTCCCAAGCTTGTTCGTACAGATTGCTAGGGTCCTCTGCAATAGCGGAATCGCCTCCGTGTAGTTCTCCTGTGGACGTTCAGATGCAGCATAGAAAACATGACCAGTGTGCATGGCTGAAGACTTGGGGTTTAAATAAACGATTCGTTCACCAGGGAGCAAGTGATCTAGCAGGCTGCAAAAAAAACAGCGACACGAGGAAAACAACACCGATGGGGCCTCACAAACGTGGACAAAAACTTCGGGACAGCTGTGGTAACCTTAGCTTCCGAAGAAGCCCACTGATGGAGCAAATCACAGAAAATCAAATCCAGAACCTGCTTGTATAACACCGGTGAGCACAACAACATCAAAAACAAATTCTTGGGGCGGGTCTCACCTGAGCGTACAACAACAGCGCCCGGTTGTTGAGAATTGTGGCAACGTTTGGATGATCCCGTCCCAAGGATTTCTCGAAGACCTCCTGCGTCCTCTTGTACAACGGCTCAGCTTCCGAGAATTTGCCCTGGAAACGAGTAGTGGTTGGTGTAAGACAGTGGTACACCAGAAACGAAAAAAACAAGCACCGACGAATGTGGACCCAAATAAAAATCCTGGAAAAATCTGACGGCTCTCACCTGCGCTCTCAACAACCCCGCCCGGTTGTTGAGCGACGTAGCCACATCTGGATGCTCCGGACCCAAGACCTTCTCTTGGATGGCCTGTGACCTCCCATAGAGTGGTTCGGCCTCGGTGAACTTGCCCTGTGCGAAAGCAGTGGGTTGCGGTAAGGCAGTGGTTCACCCAGAATGAAAACAAAACAAAACAAAAATGCGTGCACCAATACAAAACAGAAAAAATGCGTGTACCAATTCTCACCAGAGCTCTCTCAGAAAGAACGACAGCCACATGCCACCTAGAGAATTCTTAGATCCTTTTCAGAAACTGGGCTCATGCTTTTGCCAGTTGGTGTACGGGAGTGGCGTCACGACAATTGAAAGGACTCGCCAACACATTCAACAACCTAGTTGCGAGCAATATTGTCATAGAACATTTAAAAAAACAAACGGTTGACCGCACGGAATAAACAGCCAACCGCGACGTACAGCGTCGCTACATCATACCCAACTACACGACGTACGTCACAAACAGTGCGGAAAGCCCAAACAAACAACATCTGCCGTACCTGGATATTGAACAAAAACCCGACCCAACGGTAGGAACTCGCGACGTCTTCCGTCGCCTCGCATGACTCCAACTCCCCGAGGCTGGCGCGATACGAGGCAACCTCCAGCTCAGGGTCCCCCGAGAGCTTCTCCACCGAGCGCCAGAGAGCATCCAAAAAGAAAAGGCCTTGGTTTCCAGCACCGTGCTCCGGGTCTCCGTAACTCTTGAGCACGTCTACTCTCCCGAGATACTGCGCCTGCAGCGCTGTGGCCTTTTCCACCATCTCCTCCTCTGCCCTGATACTAGTTTTCACAAACTCCAGGACGAGGTCGTGTACACGGTACCCACTACCACCCACAGCTTGTAGAAGGCACTTGCTCACCAGACCCTCAGCTTCCTCTCGCGTACCCTCTGCGTCCTGCAAATCGAACACCGGAAAGACATCCATTGAGGTTAACACGCGGCATAGTTCGAACATCGTCAAAATTAGGGCAAATGTAATGTGTCGCGAAACCTACTACGTGCCTGTACAACCAACCGGCACTAGATATGCAAACTGTTTCAAGACGTTTAACAGCCTCATATAAGGGACGCCACCACGTACCTCTATCTCCCACAAATTACGCAGCATCTCGATCGGCGCAAGAGCACCCGCGGCCAACACAGTCATCTTCAAACTCTCTTCTTGCTTCCTTGCTGCCAAAGCGTCGAAGCTGGTCCCAAGGACCACTTTGATAGACGACGACTGCTCTCCCCGAACCCGCATCTTCTTGGCCACGTTCTCGAACTCTTTGATCAGCTCTTCCCAGGCGACAGCGGTCAAGCCCTTCCCTTTCACGACGGACATGGAACCCGCGATGGCGAGCACCAACGGTAGATGTCCACAGAGCACAACGACCTGGATCGGTGTTTGTTGGGAGTTGAAAAATGACACGAATCGAGCTCGACGATGTGATTCGACGGCATATCACATACGGCACTTCGTTTACCAGTTCTAAGGAGGTCGATTCCTACATTTCCAAACCCGGTACGTGTTTTAACAACGTGCGTCCACTCAGCATCAAGCCCCCAACGATGTCACGCTCAACACTAAATCAGAATAGGATCCACAACACCAGCTAAAACGTACCCCGACACCCCACCTCGACGTAAGAATTCAACGCGCATCACTCACCTTGGTCATCTGCGTCCGGACCTCGTGCCCAGGCTGACCCACAGTCCTACTCGTCTTCAGCAGCAGCTCCAGCGCCTCTTCCTCCGTCATGTCTCCCAGCTCCAACAATCCCCCGGAAACACCGACAACCGAGCGATCACGCGTAGTCACCAGCACCTTCAATCCTAGAGAGAGAAGCGCGTCCACAACCTCGCGCTCCCACACGTCATCCAGCACCACCAAGCGCGGGGAGGTGCCCGCGGATGCCACCGTAGCCAGGTGCTGCTTCACCTGCTCCAGGCTTTCCAAGACGTGAGGCACCCCGTGCGGAGTATCCGTCGGCGCTGCGCTCATCTCCCTGGCCAGACCCTGCAGGAGAGACAGAAGGCTATTCTTTGCGTGCCTGCCCACTCTCATCCAGAATACACCCCCACGGAAGTGTTCCCTCACATTCGACTTGCGCACGACGGCCGACACCAGCATCGTTTTCCCCCCTCCACCCATCCCGACAACAGCGTAGGGGGCACGGGGCTCCTCGGGCTTGATGAGGCCGTCGGCAACTTCTTGTACCGCAGCTCGCTCCACGTAGCTTTGGGGCAAGGTAAGCGCTCCTGCGGGGACTGCGGCCATGTCCGGCAAGCTTGGTGGGAGCAACTCGCGACGCAGGGCGATTGACTGCTGGTGATGCTCCAGCCCGTCCACCAAGGCGATGTCGTTGCTGATGCTGCTGCACCTTCGGCGGCCTCGATCAGCGCCTTGAATGCCTGGCACACAGGCTCTAGTGGCCCAATGCCGGGGCTGGGGCAAGCCTCCCACTCCTCTATCGCTCGAGCTCCGAGGTGCAGAAAGGCGGGCCAAGGCTTCTTTTGGGCGAGCAACGTACCAACATGCTCAAGACGCTGCGAACGGGAGAGGGGAGGGAGGGAGGGAGGGAGGGATGGAACTTAGAATTGAGTTCGAGCGTGGAGATTGTGTGTGTGTGTTGCTCCCTTTCTATTCTGGCGCCAGTCTACACACCTTTCGGTGCATATGTTTGACGTATCAGCGGGGGTCACACAGGAGGAAGGTCACACATCACACAGTCTCCACCTTCTCTCTGCGGTTCTTGCCTTAGTTTTTTATCGCGAGAAGGGTTCAGCCATCCCTTCCCTCGCCGACCGTGAAGTCGGAATTTGTTAACCTACGAATAAAGCGTTCTCCACTTGTTTGGGCATGATGAGAGAAAACACACCCAGGGTTAGGGTTCGAACTCACGGCCCAAACTTCAGAGGCTGCGGGGTCACCAACTGAACCACCGGGGCGACCGAGGTATCACATTAAACCAGCGCTCGCAGGGGCATCTTGCCAGAGCTCTGATCCGTGGTCACACAGAAGGGTTCCTCTCCCTAAGGACCCCACCAGTACTTTGGACTACAAAAATAGTTATCAAACCTCTAAACGCGAAGTCTTTCGTGTGAAAATAATACGCACCTCGGCCGTGGTGGGGTCCACGGCGGCTGCCAGGCCCACTTGGCCTCCATTGGCGGGAGCGCGTTGCATTCCCGCCGCCGCTTATCCTCCCGGACGCCGACCTCTTGCTGAGACTCAACGAAAACACGCGGCAGAGTGGCACCACACGCGAACGAATATATGAAAGGTGACGAAAATCATATGTAATTAGGGGACAACGTCACGACATGTCTGCCCGCGCATACGTTTGGGTACATCATGACGAGAAAAATAACTGCGTTCATCACGAAGACTCTATGCCCGCTGCTCGAAACTGTTGCGCCACGGTAGTCACATGCTGCTGCACCAGTGTGCATAGCAACCGAAGTTCTGAAAAGATCACTGGTTTGCCAGCGGGATGGCACCCTCTGCGCATAACTCGCGAACAACTTCTTGCGTCCGCAGCTGCTGTTGTGTTGTGCAGCATCAAAATTATGCCGCAGACCATCTAGCTTGAACGATGCTACGAAGTGCTGCCAACTTCGTCGCCAACTCAGCACAAGAGTAGAAGGCATGTGCTACAAACAGTAGTGCTGCTTTGCATCACATCGCAAAGCACTTGGGCGGCAAAAATGCAACGACTTCGGTGGAAAAGAACCATAGGGTTGGAAGGCAAAACAACTTCGGTGGAAAATAAAAAATAAAAGGTCGGCCGCAAGCAAACCAGCTTATCAGGCCACGCGCGGAATTCTCTGGGGTTGCACATATCTTGCTGTCTCGCAAATTCGTCGGCTGCGCGCCACACGCAAAATGGCAGCTGCGCGACCACAAGGCTAGAGTTCTGGAAGACGCACCAAATGTTTCACAAGTACCGTCGGAGGGTCTCCCCGCACTCTCTCACCTCTCACCTGATAGCACGCTCGATTTGCAGGCACGGTGGACGCGCGATGGAGTTGGAACCCGTCGTTCTTGAGTACAATGTGCACACTAGCTATGCTGTTGGTTGCTGCCATGTGTGCCATTGTGGGTCGGTGGCTCCGTACATATATTCGGGTGGGGGCACGTACCCTGGGGCATTTTATCAAAAAATGCGTTCAGCCCTCAAAACAGATAGGGCTGTTTGTGTGAAATACGATCTCTGTCCACGGCTTCACACACCTCCTTCCTCGCCGATGGATGTGTGGTCTCTGGTGTGGCTGATACAGGACCTCTGTTCATGAAAACTGTCGAAAACGCGTTTATTTTGCGCTTATTTTCTGCACAGTGCTTGATTCTGGTGGGGGTGAACAGGACCTCTCCCGCTTTTCTGTTCCAAGAAAAAAGTCGAAAAACTTTTTTTTTGCGCTTATTTGTTGCACAGTGCTTGTTCGCGGAGAGGGGTGTCGTTGATTGTCACGCTCATGAATCTGGATTGTGTATTAAGTGTCGTCTCTACAATCATCTACGGTACTGGCAGTTCAATTTGCACACGATGTAATTAATACCTGCCAACAGTTGTGCCCCGCTGCTTTTCTTCCAGTATCAGGCTGTCCGTACTCTTCCGCATTTAAAACCCCATTAAAAACCCCGAGCGAGGCCCTAATTCATGTGTTAAAGCACCACAAAAAAACAGCGCCACCCGTGTATATACAACCTTGAAAAACACCGAAACATGCCCCAAAAAATGTGTCAAGCCAACAATATGTTCAGCGCCCTCTTAATCGTCAGACGCGCATGTACACCAAACCCGTCCAAACCCCCACAGGCAGGCCCTAAGCCCCATAAAAAACATTAGGCAGCCGCCCGTGCTTCCCCCGCTGCAATATATGCGGCTGGCGTTCAGGCGCAGTTGCCACCAAGGTCTCGTGCCCCTCTCGCCCTTGTTCTCGCGGGGAGCGGGTACGCCGAACAACCCCTCTTCCTCCGCACGAACGGGCGAAGAAAGCCCGGCCTGGCAACATATCTGCGGAGGGAAATATTTGGGGCGGCGGGATATTACGATTGGATTTTGTGCAATGACATACGATAAAAAAACACACGGTCACAAGTCCTGTGGTAGACTGCGTTTCCGACCGCTTATCCGGGAGCGGGGAGAGAGGCCAGACTACATCAGCAAACACAAAACACACCTTCAGAAGCCCTCAGGTGGAGCATGCTTCTGACCACGGGTCTCCGCGGGAGCCTCTCCTCCATGCTGCCCGCCGCCCCCCCTCTCCTCGGTCTGGGCTTGACCGACCCCACCCTCGCCGCCTCCTCAATTTCCACAGAGCCTCCTCCGGTCCCGGCCCCACCTGCAATGATATCACAAAAAAAACACGCGTCCAAAAGTCTGGTGGTAGACTGCGTTTCCGACGGCGTATCCGGGAGCGGGGAGCGAGGCCAGCTGCCTGTAGAAGCTACGAAACAAACAAAAACACACCTTCAAAAGCCCTCCGGTAGACCACGCTTCTGACCGCGGGCCTCCGCGGGAGCCTCTCCTCCATCCTGCCCGCCGCCCGCCCGCCCCCTCCTCGGCATGGGCTTGACCGACCCCACCCTCGCCCCTTCCGACTTCGGCTGGGGCGCCACCGGTCAATTTTTACAGAGCCTCCTCCGGTCCCGGCCCCACCTGCAATGATATATCGTAAAAATAAGCACGTTCAAAAGCCCGCTGGTAGACGGCGTTTCCGATCGCTTATCCGGGAGCGGGGAGTGAGGCCAGACTACACCAAACACACCTTCAAAAGCCCTCCGGTAGACCACGCTTCTGGCCGCGGGCCTCCGCGAGAGCCTCTCCTCCGTGCAGCCCTCCGCCCTCCCCCTCCTGGTCCGCTGGCTCGGCTTGGGCATGACCGGCTCCGCCCTCGTGCTCTCCGGCGGCGGCCGAGGCTCCACCGGCGGCGACCTCCTCTGCTTGGGCTTGGACGACCCCACCCTTGCTCTCTCCGGCCTCGCCCGAAACTCCACCGGCGGCGGCTGGGGCCACCGGTGGCTTCCTCCTCGATTTTCACAGAGCCTCTCCCGCCTTCGGTCGCAGTTTGAACAAGGAGGAAGAAAGATTTGGGGAGTGTGTCAACGAGCTGTGGGTGTCAAAGGAAAAAACTACATCTCTCTCTCTCAAATGGTGTTTGCCATTCACGCACGCACCTGTGTCTTGCATTTCTTGCAGCGTCGTCTGCAGAAAACGCTCTTGCTCCGTCTGCTGCTCTTGCTGCAGCTGTTTCTCCAGATGACGCTGCTGGTGTTGCTGTTGCACCTCTTTTTTCTGTAGATAGAGCAGCTTCTGGTCCCGTTGCTCTAGACCGGGCTGGAGCTGGAGCTGGTACCGCTCTTCCCTCTACTGGCACTGCTGCTGGCACTGCTCTCCCTGTGCAACATCCAGCTGCTGCTGCTACTGCTGCTGAGCGGGGAGCGAGGACAGACTTGTAATGCATACAAAACACACCTTCAAAAGCTCTCCGGTAGACCACGCTCCTGGCCGCGGGCCTCCGCGAGAGCCTCTCCTCCGTGCAGCCCTCCGCCCTCCCCCTCCTGGTCAGCTGGCTCGGCTTGGGCATGACCGGCTCCGCCCTCGTGTCTCCGGCGGCGGCCGAGGCTCCACCGGCGGCGGCCTCCTCTGCTTGGGCTTGGACTCTCCGGCTGCGCCCGAATCTCCACCGGCGGTGGCCGAGGCTCCACCGGCGGGCTCATCCTCCTCGTTTTCCATAGAGCCTCCACCACCTTCGGTCGCTGCCTAAACGATGAGGAAGAAAGATTCGGGGAGGTTGTCAACGAGCTGTGGGTATCAAAGGAAGAAATTACGTCTCTCGAAGGAAATAAAACGACATCTACGCACCTGTGTCTGCTGCTGCTGCATTTTCTGCAGCGTCATGCGCAGAAAACGCTCTTGCTCCGCCTGCTGCTCTTGCTGCAGCTGTTTCTCCAGACGATGCTGCTGGTGTTGCTGCTGCACCTCTTCTTTCTGTAGATAGAGCAGCTGGTTCCGTTGCTCTAGACCGGGCTGGTGCTGTAGCTGGTACCGCTCTTCCCTCTGCTGGCACTATTGCTGGCGCTGCTGCAGAAAAAGCCGGTGCAGCTCCGCAAAAACCATGCCGGGGGGGGGTGGCGGCGGCGGCGGGAGCTGCGGCTGCGTCGGCTGCGTCGGCGGCGGTGGTGTCCTCCTTCTCCTCTTGCTCCACGTGGGGTTCATCCCCCGCGTCAACCTAAACAGAAGGGAGCGAGAAGGCATGTGTTCAAAAGCACTTTCAGTTGGAGAAACGGCTCTTGCTTCTTCTCTTGAGCCCCGTTGATCGATCAGAGGAGAGACCGTGAGGAAGAAAAAAAGCAGCAGCAGCAGCAGCAGCAGCAGCAGCAGCAGCAACAGCAGCAGCAGCAGGGGTGACGGCGGCGGCGGCGGCGGCGGAGCGGTGGCAGCAAACTAACGTCGATCCTTCTCATTTTATTTTCTTCGTGTGTTTCGACTAGAAGGCTACGCGTTCGATGCGTTGCCACAGATGACGCTTGCTATAAAACGCGAAACTTGGCTGGATCCGCGCATGAACCTTATTCTAGCAAAGCCGGTGACATGCCACATGACAAGGAAAGCAGGCAACGCTGCTGTTGTCGTCAGATGCGGACCAAAAACAAAAAGATTGTTCTCACCTCTTCTTGCTGCTGCATACGTTCGGCACCACTGTCGGCAGAAAGGGAGCTTTGGCCACCGCTTCCGGCTGCCTCAGTGTGCCGCTCTTGTTTGCGTCGCACACTACTCTTTCTTGTCCTTGCCACGGACGGTGTAACGTGAATTTCGGAAAAATGGGCGGGGCTCCGTACAATCATATTTGCGTACCTCCAAAAACAATTTACGATACCCCGATCTTCACCACCGGTGCCCACACACCCACTCTTCCATCCTCTGCCACCCGCATTACGCAACAGCACAAGATCCTCCCACAACTACCCAGCTGAGCCGGATTGTTCGCCGGGGGGCACCTTACGCAAAGGTGGGGAGAGTAGCGTTGGATCTTCTGTCTCGCTCTCGCTTCTCCGCTCACACGCCTCGTGTTTCGACCTAAATCTCGCACGCCTTCTCCTGTAGTCTTGATAGCTTCGGGAGTAGGGCTACGTGTGTACAGCCTGGAGATCCATGGCCTGGTCTCGTTTGGGTGTGATGGGCTGGTTGAATAGAACACACGTCGCGGACAGAAAACAAAGCCTTAACGGCTCACATCTACTGCTGGCTGTACACCTACCTGCTGCAAGGCCCCCTCTTTGGTGTGTTAACTCGAAGTGTTGAGGCAATGTTCGCTGGGGGCCACCTTGCGCACAGGTGGGGAGAGTAGCATTCGATTTTCTCTCTCTCTCTCTCTATCCTCCCACACGCCTCGTACTTCGACCTAAATCGCGCACGCCTTCTCCGAAGTCTACATGGTTCTGGAGTAGGGCTACGTGTGGACAGCCTGGCGATCCACAGCCTGGCCCCGTTTGGGTGTGATGCGCTGTTCGAATAGAACACACGTTGCGGACAGAAAACAAAGCCTTAACGGCTCACATCTACTGCCCCCTCTTTGGTGTGTTTACTCGAAGTGTTGCAGCAGTTTATGGTTTCGCGTGTTCAACGAAGCTATCATTCCCACACACGAGGTTATAAGCTTTGAAAACGGGGTATTTTGTGGGCGAAGATCGGCCGGGTAAAATATTATTTCTTCAATACCTGGTATCCATACACGAAGTATTTTTTATCCGCTCTCTGCGGACCGCGCCACTGCTTCCATGAACACCACCCCCGCTCGCTTACAACCCACGGTCTCCTCCCTCTCTTCACTCGGCAGGACGGATCGTCAGCTCGAGAAGATTGGCCGAGCTCCGTGCAACGACGATACTGCTGGTGTTTGTAGATCTTTTTGCACACCTGTGAAATGTGGTATGCCTTGCGTTCTGGGTATCCTCTCGAAAAAAACAAGTTCGTCTCTCTCTGTCGTGTGTTGATCCTCTGTCTGACACACACCTCGGAAAGGGCGGGAACTAATTCGGTGCCAAGCAATCTCCGGATTGCGATGCGCACTCGATGTCCGTTCCTTGAAGACTTGCTTTATTTTTGAGATGGTGTTGGTAGGGAAATCATGCCCCTAAGCTTTTGTTTAGTCTTGCTGTGGAATGCACAACGTTTAAACCCATGTCTTAACCTTGTCTGATCGAGCGGCAGTAGAAGGGAGTTGATTACATGGGTCACTCGGCGCAGTTCCATTTTATGGATCCGTTTCGTCGTTGACGTGGCCCCGATCAGTATCAGACTAGAGCTATGGTACAATCTCCCAGTTCTGCCGTCTCCGCTCGTTTGGACAAAGTTTAGACATGCGTTCAACCTTGTGCATTGCACAGCTCTTTAGGTAGTCGTGCGAGCAAACAAACACTTGACCGAACTCTTGGAAAAAACTAGATATTTTAACGGGCGCGAGAAGCTCAGTCCGTTAAAAGATCGAGTATGAGTGCGCCGTAGCCCCCCTCGCGCGGGGCTCAGCCTCTCGAGTGACGTCTTGCGTTGGTGCGCTTTGCTAGGTTGTCGTTGTCGACACCGCTTTTTGGGTGTTGTTTTATTTAGCGATCGAGACGACGCCAGCTACATGTGGATCGAGCCGGGGTGTACGAGATCGCGCGAGCGAGGAGGACGAGAGCGCCGCGACAACGGCGACGACGGCTGTGGCTGGCTGCGCACCTACTTCTGGGTTTGGCTTGTGTTAGAGTTAGAGTATTTCCTTGTGGTGTCCTCCAGTAACTTGTTGGTGCAATGCGACGGCACGTACTTGAAACACACAAGACATATGTAGGCATTTTGTTCAAATTATATCAAGAATCATAGTCGCTTCACCAATGTGACCGAAACAGATTTCTGTGGCTGGTCAGACTGTGTGGGGCAGGTCCAAACATCGCAGGAAGAAGATATAACCTATCTTCACCATTGCCTGCAACGCGCGGACCCAGCACTTGTTTCTTGGTATGATGCGACAAAATCTACATTTTTTTCTCGGTGTTTTTATGCCTGCCTCCAGACAATGCAGTTATTGTCTTTTTTGTTGTCGAGCGTTGTTTTCGTGCCGACTGTTCGATGCACAGTATTTGACCCATGTCTTTGATTCTCGAGGGGTGTCTCGGTGCATTGTGGTTCTGCTCTGGCTGAGTACGACACTCAGACCATGTTCTGTTTGTCAATATTCAAGGTTGAGTTCGTTCCTGCGTGCCACCGAGACTCGTTGTGAGAATAAGAGCTCTGTGACTTTTGAAAAGTGATATTCGAATAGCCCCATTTCTATCAGCTTTTAGCTTTTCAAAGCGCAACATTCGACTCCTGTGTTTTTGCTTCTAAAAGAGAGACATCTTTTTCCGAGAGAAAAGGGTACTTGGCGAACGGTTGTGGTGCTGCTCTGGTGGCGTGAGACACTCAGGCCAGGTCCTGTTTGTCAATATTCAAAGCTGAGTTCGTTCCCCCGTTCTGTTGAGACTCGATTGGGAAGAACAAGAGACAAGAGTTGATTTATGTACTTTGAAAAGATCTCCGTCTGTAGTGGTGGTGATTTTCTCCATCATCCGCATGAAAGCGCTTGTTTTGTTGTTTTGTGCACTCTGTGGAGGTTCCGGGACCACCCTTGGGGGAAGACTGGGCTAGCATGGCGTGCTTGTTTTGTTGTTTTGTGCACTCTGTGGAGGTTCCGGGACCACCCTTGGGGGAAGACTGGGCTAGCATGGCGTGCTTGTTTTGTTGTTTTGTGCACTCTGTGGAGGTTCCGGGACCACCCTTGGGGGAAGACTGGGCTAGCATGGCGTGCTTGTTTTGTTGTTTTGTGCACTCTGTGGAGGTTCCGGGACCACCCTTGGGGGAAGACTGGGCTAGCATGGCGTGCTTGTTTTGTTGTTTTTGCTTGTCTCCGGTGTGCCTTTTTTTGCCGTGTCCCCTATTGTGTTTCTTTCCTGCACGTGTCGTGCGTGTATCTCCCCTACCTCTCCTACCACCGAGTCCCGCTGCGGACTTCGAACTGCTGGTTCGTGGTCTTACACATATGGACAGTTTGGCACGATGACGACGTACGAAAAAACAGTAGATGGCGGCGGCCGCGCGCATCTGACCCACAACCTTTCGCGCGGGCGTAGAACCTTGAAACAGAGGTTTCCGCGTACATGTTTGGAAGCCATCGTCGTCGTTGTCACAAGCCGGGCGGGACCTCCTCTACGCGCGCCTTAGATGACGGCCGCGTGCATCTGACCCACAACACAGCCCAAGCATACGTTTTTAGCGCGCGCCTCCGACCCTGAAACATAGGTTCTCAAGCCGGGACCTCCTTTACGCGCGCCGAAGCGACCACATCAACCAATGAGCCTATGAAAATGGAAGTGGGGCGCTATTTTTCCCAACAAACTAACCCGCCGTCGCCATCGCTTTACATTATTCAGTTTCACACTAGCATTTGAGGGCCANTGTGCATCTGACCCACAACACAACCCAAGCATACGTTTTTAGCGCGCGCCTCCGACCCTGAAACATAGGTTCTCAAGCCGGGACCTCCTTTACGCGCGCCGAAGCGACCACATCAACCAATGAGCCTATGAAAATGGAAGTGGGGCGCTATTTTTCCCAACAAACTAACCCGCCGTCGCCATCGCTTTACATTATTCAGTTTCACACTAGCATTTGAGGGCCACACGTGTCCAGCGGGACGTGCAGCGCGGGTGGGTTGGGGTCGTCGCTATGCCGGGTATACAGTACCGGCCCGATCATAAGAAACCAGAAATCGGGCCCAGCCTGACTTTCTTATTCTTTCCGAGCGGGACACCACACTTTCTTGGATCGTACTCTCTTATTTGTAGCCTCCAACAAAATATTGTTGCTATGTTGAACGCTACCTTAGTACCCCATCGATGACCAGCCGTCTGACACATGTCCCGCCCTCGCTACTCCTAATAGCAATCTTAGAACAAAGTTCGTATTAGGTAACGTAGCCGTGTGGGAAAGAGAGTAGTGGTGGCTCTCCATCACACGCTACCTCTGCAACATGCAAGGCTCGTGGACAAAACCCAACATGTATAATTCGTATGTAGGTACTTCAAACCCCGGTGTTTTTACCTCCTGCTGTTGCGACCCCGACTGAGGCATCAACAGAAACCGCCGCCAGTAGAGGAACGAAAGCACAAAAATCACGCACAAATTTCAAGCTTCAAACCCTTGGTCCGACAGTTGGACGCTAACCGAGCGAGACCTGCCACTAGATCTTGTGGCGTGTGGGGCGGTGCGCTTGCGCTTGCCCCGGCCTTTCCCCTTTCCTCTCCTCGCCCGTGCGACTCCGTCCTCTTCCTCCTCCTCCTCTTCCTCCTCTTCGCCGGACTCGTCCACCCCACGCCCGCAGACTAGTCCACCGAGTACTTAGTCAATGGCGTGCGTGCTACTGTCACGCTCCAAAAATACTCTGTAGTCGTAGTGGTGACGCGTGCGCACTTGAGCCTGTCGTGTGATGGTCCCCTGCAGCCACCCGATACCTAACCGCAGCACTATCGATCGCTTAATGAGTTCTGCATTGAGTGCGGCAGGTACTCGGCTCTACAGTGTGTATCCCGCCGGGATGTCGAGACGCAACGGCTCCTCGGCTTCATCGAGATCATCGTCAAAGTCTAATGTCGCCAAGTCGTCGTTCGTGCCACCACTGCCGCCACCCCCCTCCTCTCCATCTAAATCGTCGTCCTCGTCGCTTGAACCGGGGGGGTGTTCCTCATCGGCAGGAGCAGGTGATGCCAGGAGCACATCCTCCAGCGGCTCGGGCGTAATGTCCATGTCCATGAAGGAGAACGTGCCCTCAACACCTTCGAGGTTGATGAGGTCGTCCTCGTTGCCGTCAACGGTCATCGCCAAGCCAGTCTTCTTCCTGAAAAGGCGACGGCGGTACTCGACGCACATGTCAACGTCGATCTTCTTACCTGCTTCGCCGACTCATTGCGTGATCAAAATCCTACGCTGAGATGCAGTCAGCTTGTTCGACTCCCACAACTCTACGTGATCCGCCTCCAGCAGCCACTCGTCGAGGAACTTTCCCACGTACACTTAAACAGACGTCCGTAGCCGGCGTCAACGGGCTGGACCTCGTCGGTACACTTGTTGGGGAGAAGCCAGAGAAGCGTGTTACACTTCTCCATCAAAATGCGTTTGAACTCGTCGGTAGTCTGGCCATGAAGGTTGTCGGCGAACAAGATGAACTGCTCCTCGGGCACTCCCAACGAAGAGCCACACACCCCCTTGCGGTAGGTGCTGGCCGCCCTAACCCTAACCCTAAGTGCACGTACACAACTATTTTTTGGGGGAAAATATTCCCAGAAGCGAGGGGGGGGGGGGGGGGTGATTTTTTTTCTTCTTTTTTTCCGAAAATCCGCTGTGTGTGGTGGAGATGTGGAGATGCACATACGCCACGAGGTGGGCCTGGCATGTCAGGCCACCCTTAGCATAGTAAGGGGCCAACTTTCTTATGTCCGAGGCAGTGCCCAGCCTGGGCACTTTCTTAAATTTTGAAAAATCTCAGCCTCACTTTCTTGTAGTCAACTTTCTTATGATCGGGCCGGTATGCATAATAAGAAACAATAAAACGCTGTGGCAAAGAGAAGTGTACCCCAGGGTCACGGTTTGCGCCGTTGGGGGTGTCGGCATTACCTGTTCTCGTGCCGCCCGTGCCGAAGCCCCAGGCCACCGCCGCCTCTGCGCGCACCGACCGCGGCAGCCAGGTTTCTTAATTTTGTACTCCTCAAGGATACACTATTCCATACCCTGCAGAACATCAAAGTATTTCTGAGGTTGGGTTTTCCTCTCGAACCTCTGGAAAGAAACCCCCTGACCAATCGATGCCATAAGAAGGGATCGGTGCCCCGCAAGAAAAAAACCGCTGTACCCCGAACAAGTAGCAGGCTCAAGAAGGCAGCGACTCGCTCACGGCCAAGTGTGTGGTGCGAGCTGTCGCAACTCCAGGCTCGTCGTCTGATTCTCAAGGTGGGCCTTGGTCGCGATCTCGTGCCTCGAGACCTACCCACCGCGAAAAACCCCAACAGGCTGCGTGAAACGCTGACGAGCATGCTCAAAGCTTCATGTGTCAGAGGCTGGAAGGTTACGAAATTCATCTCCGAGGGATCGTTCGGCCACGTCTTCCGCGCGCTGAGAAATGATGGCACCAGAGCAGTAATCAAAGTCAGATTGGTTCCGCGAAGGAAATAAAGGGCGAAGCCGTTGCTCAAAAGAATTACCACGGTAAGGGTCTTGCCCCCAAGATACTAGGGTAAAAAAACGATTGAGAAAATCGGCACACGAGCGACTGAACGACCTCGAATACGATGATGACGACATAGAGTATCACCCCCGGGGCCATTTGGTCCACATCATCGTGATGGAGGAGATTGCTGGCGTTATCGGTGACTGGCTACATCCCCAAAGTCAAAAGAACAGCTCGGACAGCTTATGCTCAATATTTTTTATCTATTGGATTCTTTCGGAAGGCACAAACTGACACATGCCGATCTACACTTGTGGAACTTGGGGTACGTGTACACCGACGCGTCGAAGAAACATCTGAAGCTGATGCCGATTGATTTTGGGAGGTCTAGCAAAGGAAAGCTTACACGGAGTTGGAGGTTGGCTGCCTCTTGCGCNACTTGGGGTACGTGTACACCGACGCGTCGAAGAAACATCTGAAGCTGATGCCGATTGATTTTGGGAGGTCTAGCAAAGGAAAGCTTACACGGAGTTTGAGGTTGGCTGCCTCTTGCGCATCCTTGGCAAAAATTTCATGTGAAAGGAGAGGGGACGGATAAGCGCGTCCCAGACTTCAACCGGCGGGTGGTGGCCAATCTGGTTCGCACGCTTGCCGAGATGAAATACGGCATTTCGTTTCCTAGATCTTTCAGCGAGGCGGAAGACATTTTTTGCAAACAGTTGGGAAAATACACGAAAAACATGGCTTCTGGTAGTTTTAGCTGTCAGGGACATACAGTACTAGGCAAATCGAGCGTATCTAATTTCAGCAGTTTTTACGTGCGTCCCGCGGGACGTGCAGCAACATTTTCCCCGAGAGATCGGGGCCCACATGGCGCGTTTGGGTTCCCGAGAGATATTTCTAAAAACCCTCGGCGTCCTGGTGTGTGATGGAAGTATAATTGACTTAATCATTTTTGATCATCTCTCAACGCGAAATCCAGGCGACACAATAAAATTGCCACAACCGGGCCGCGTCGTCCCGGCTTGTCACAAAACATGGTTCAATGCAATTTTGAAATAAATTCAATGACACAACGTGTCCAAGTCAAAAGCACATGCCAATCACCGACCACAGTTAAAAAAAAAAAACGATCACATATTCTGGCTGTCGCACACGCACTCTACTTTCTTGCAACCCTTGCAAAACCAATAGGACCACTCGCTTCTCCCCTCCTGCTTCTGCCTCCCAACAATATCCCTGACCATTTTCTCTTTCTTTCTTATGGGAAACAGTTCGTAGAATTGAAGCACATCGCTACGACTGGAATCGTCCTCCCCAACGTGCGCCACCATGTACTCTCTGACCTGATCCTTACACAATCCGCCAAACGTAGAAACATGGTACATGCAGTTCTCCAATGTGCGTCGCGGATATGACTTACCCGGAACCAACTTCATCTCGACAACCTTCTCGTTGAAAAGCGCATTCATCCGCAGCAAGAGAGGCATAAGGTCGACCGAAAATGTACCCCTCTTCACCCGCTTTCTTGGGGGCTGACTGGCCTCGTCTGTGCTCTCGACACCCTTACACGACGCATCTCCCTTGTCACAAGAGGGTTGGACAGAAGGGCGCTTGTCACCTACCACCGAACCCGACCCCGCGCTCGCACTAAGCCCATGCTTTCGTTCAATCTCTTGCCTCTCGACTTGCATTTTGACTATTTTGAACTTAAGTTCCTCTTTCCCAAGTTGCTTCTGAAGCTCTTTCGTCTCATCGTCTCCCCGAATGTTTTCAGTTGAGATTCCTCTGCTCTGCAT